ACTGTTTGTTGAAGGAACCCATCCTATTCCTAAGCGAAACTAAGCACAACAACATCTTTCAGAACAAAAACACATGTTTTTGCGACACATGTTGGTTGCCCGGACTTTTTGGGTGAGTTTTCCTCTGGAAACTGCTGGTTGTTCTCCAAAAAAGCAAGTTTGTGGTTCTGTGTGTGCGCGTGCTCTCTTTCTTTTTGTGTTCTATGGTTTTCCTTTGGGGAAGAACAGTCTTCTTGTATAGACAATGCATTGAAAGTAAAAAAGATTTCCCAAGGATTGCCATTTGATAACAAATGGCAGCCATCGGAAAAGGTGATTTTCCGTTCAAAAACACCGTTTTGCTCGGAAACCATTTCTTAAGGCAATACATCGTAGGAAAGGAACAATTGGGTTTTCATGGGGAACTCCTTGACACCTCTCACTTAGCACTCATACTAAAAACTAACTTTGAAGTACCTGTAGTAAGAATACAAACCCTAAGGAGTTTATGGCTCCAGCATGGAGGGTGGGGTATGAGGGGATGAGGGAGGGTTTAGGATTTATGCTCCAGGGTTTGAGGCTCATCTGAAGCCATAAAGGTGGCTCCAGGGTGGTGTGGGGCGGGGGGGGGGGGGGGGGGGGGGGGATGCGGTTTAGGGTTTAGGGTTTAGGGTTTAGGGTTAGCGTCTAGGGTTTCGGGGTTGTAGGGTAGGTCTGTTATGTCAAGCCATAAAGAAATATGGAGCTTTGCAAGGCGTCTGCTCGGCAGAATGCTCTGGTTTGCCATGCTTCTGGCTGAGCTTCGGAGGAAAAGCGCGGAACAACAATGAAACTCTAAACCCTAAACCCTCAGGGTTCAGGGTTTAGGGGGACAGCTTTTGAGGGTCGGATTCAGCCAAGATACCTGTGTGGCCTCTGATGTTGACCTTAGTGGTTCCAGGTACAGTCGAAAGGGGCAACATTCTGTTTGCGAAACGTTGGACCCTAAACCCTAAACCCTAAACCCTAAACCCTAGGTATGCGCATGTCGGGAGTCGGCAAATTTCCTTAAGATCCCCATAACAGGGCAATACTTTTTGGAAAGCACGTGCTTAAAATTGTGGAAGATTATGAATCCACGGAGTTGTGCAGACGTGCTAGACGTCAGCATTCAAGGAGACTCCTACAACACCTTAGACCCTAAATTTTAAGGTTTAGGATTCATAGCCCCTTAAGTAGATAGACTGTGGCTTTGGGTATATTATGATAAGACCCCCCATATACCCCATATTCTATCTACTTCAGGGGGACTGTAGGATTCTACATAGCTGCTTACAGATCTCCAACCTGCTGTTCAACCCAGCAGGATGTAACACTCGCAAAGTTAGCGCCGGGAGCCGTAGAACCTTATAGTTTCCTTTAGGGTTTAGGGTTTAGGGTTTAGGGATAGAATATGGGGTATATGGGAACCTTATTATAATATACCCAAAGCCATATTCTATCTACTTAAGGGGGACTATAACCTGAGACCGTAAACCCTAAACCCTGAACCCCTGTATATCCCTACATGAAACCAGCAGTAAGCATCGCTTCTTTGAGAACCGTACAGGATTCTTGCTGAAGCTCACCCATAATAATGGCCCGAAGACAAGCCCTACTGCCCAAGGGCTTAGGGTTTGGGGTTAAGGGTTTTAGGGTTTAGGATTCAGGGTTTAGGTTCTGGGTCTAGGGTGCGGGGTTTTGGGGTTTAGGGTCTGGAGCGATGCGCATTTGCTTTCAATGTACAGCAAAGGCATCATGATGTATTGGCAGTCATAAACAAGTCCACGACCCTAAGCCTGCCATTTCTGGACCAAACCCTAGGGTTTAGGGTTCAGCGTTTAGGGACATAGGCATCTGCCATTTAAGTTTGGATCTCTGTATCACCCTACAACAATAGGGAGCTGAAACTGGGGACCCCAAAATGAGTCATACTTGTGGCACAAGAGGGTCATCTCCAACAGAGCGTATCCTGGAGGACCCCAGTTAAGAGGAGAGTCGAAGGCTTCAAGGACTACTTTGAGAAACTCCCATATCTTATATCCCTATAGAATCACTACCAACCCTGATGGACAAGTGTATTTCCAATGCCGCTTCGGCGCGACCAGATGCAATCAGCGGCGAAGCAAGGTGAACGTATAAAGCCTCATTTTACTGGGTTGCTGTTAAGGAACTTAAATTAAGTTGCCATAATGGGTATATATAGTAAATAATAGGGTTTCCCCAATATAGTAACTTAATTTACGTCCCTTAAATCCCTATATTCCCC